GATTATCCATGCTTAAAACCTGATCTCCTTATAAAGATTGACAACTACTCAGAATTTGAATTTTGAATATGAAAAGAAGAAAAAGTTGTAGCTACAGGCCCCCCTTTTACCAAGACATACCCAAGCACTTAGTAAAGACAAAGAGATTATTTGTAACTAGAATAAGAGAGATAGTAGGTTTTGAGCTTAGCAAAGAAATTGAGAAAGATGTTTTCCATCTTGTTGTGAACATGGGACAAAGAAAAACATTTTTAGTCCCCATGCTCTACCACTGAGCCACAGAGACTCCATGGTGAGCAAGGTCTATTACAAAGTACATATGACATGCATCCTGCATACTGCTAGGATCAGCAATGTTGATAACAACATGTTTGTAAATAGAATAAAACATCTTTCTCCTAAGTCATCTTTCCTCTTAAGAGACATATAAGAAAATAAGACAGAAGAGTGATTACAGAAAAACATGAAGTAATCTTCAAAGAATCAGAAGAAGTGTATCTTTATAGTCAGTTGCACAAGACAAAATAGATATAAAATTAATATATTTATGAAAATAATAAAAATATAAGATAGAGCTAGAAATCAAAATGAATATAAACATAAAAAATAGCCACAAATATAAGTACATAGAGACACAAGTGATATATATGCCTGTACCTGTCCATTGTCTGTAAAGTGTCTTAGGGTGCTATGAGAGGGTAAAAACAGAGGTAGAAATGAGCAGCAGGTACAGTACAAGCTTGAACATTACAGAAAATGTTTTTGTTTTGTTTCTCTCTACTCTGTACTTGGTCTAAGAAAACTGTGTCATTTTCCTTACCATACAGAAACAAACCTGATGCTAAACAAAACTAATTCACATAAATTTTCCTATGCCTGATACAATAAGCTCTTGTGCAATCTAGATATGGAAAGCTTATAACTGCCCACTTGTACTTTAGGTAGAGCTGTTGCTGATACCTCAAAGGTAGGACGACAATCCTTAGCATACAATCCAGATGGTAACAAGTATTCAACTGCTTCCTAAAAATAAAATAATGATTAAAATATGTAAATACAAAAACATGGTTCTTCAGAGGTACATTTGTGGTGTAAACAACAAATAAAGTTGTGATGTTCATAAACATCCATTTTTTTGCTTGTTTAATAAATTTGTCTTTTACATGTATAACAAAAAACTTAAGCATAAATCTCAACATTTTCGTGGACTTCATCCTAAGAAACATCAAGGCTCTCAGAAAACAAAGCTAACTGTTTCCCAAGGGTACAGACATTAAGCATATATTATACTCAGTACCTGCGCATCCTCTAGGCTGAACGATTCAGGATCCTTCCCCATCAACTTTGCCAACCATAAGTGATACCTCTCATATCTCTCAATCATGATTTGCATTGACGGATCTGGGTGTGAAACACAAATTGCAAAAGGTCACTGATGTATAATACTATCCAAAAGAACTTTTTTCCTTTTTTTCATTAATGTTCAAAGTTTTTTGTGTCTTAGCTGTGATTATTCTTCAGATGAAAAGATCTTTCATTCTTTTACTTTCAACTGATGTCTCATCATAAGACCAAAAATGTTAGTTGGCCCCAGTTGAAATGTAAGTTTACATTTAAAGGATACTCTCCTATTACTTGGTATCAGACCTTTTTACCCAAAGAGTGACTAAAATCTAATTCTCCTCATAAATTAACACCTGCATCAAATGTTGTGGTCAGAAGAGTAAAGGAAATGACAACCAACTAAATAAGATATTGATCGTTAAACAAATTCTCCTTGTCAGCAACTTAGGAAATGTATAGAGAACAGTATGGAGAATATGTATACTGATGTTTGGGTGTGAAGGGTTAATAAGTGTCTGTCTAACTATTAAATTTATGGAGTGTGTCAGAAATGTGTTGGATATCTTTATTAAAAAACAAAACAGAAACCTTCATCATCCTGCTCCCCCTCTGAACCAGTAGAACTTGAGACATCGATACCGTCTATAGCATTCCTAAAGTTTTCTTGCATCAAGTACTGAAAACACAATTATTAATTTTAATAATTCTCAAAAATATCATTAAATGCTGGCAAGCTTCCCTGTAAATAAAGGAAGTCATTCCACACAAAATACACGCTGAATTTTTGTGGAGGTAACACACAGTTTCTAGGTCTAATATGAGTATAAACCATTGTTGAGAGCATATGTTCTTGTAGGTTATTGACTTAAGGTTAGTGCTTTCTTAAATTTTCTGTTACTAATGAGCTCTATCACTCAATTTTTCTTATATTCATTTTACTTTTTCTTAATCCAATGTAGGGTCACCATCAGTGATCCAATCTATAGACCAATCAGTCGTCTGATCCGTAGTCCACCTAAAATGATCCCATCAGTGTTCTGATCCACTTTTGATTACATGAATACCTCTTAATTTGTGTAGGGCAAACCAGTTAGCTGCAATAAAAAACTAGAATTATTTGTTCTATGCATGAAATTATAAAGATGAGCTGAAAATTATCGCTTATACGTGACTAGCCCTTTTTGCATAAGTGTGTACTCTTGGTATCCAAAAACACTGGAAAACAAAGGTACATGAAGGGAGTTTAAAACTTACCTGGGAAAACTTTAAAACACCTGACGCACGTGAAGACTTTTCATCTGCATAAAACCTTTTATTTGAAACCTTCAAAGCAATATACGATGTGTAAAGTTCACTAAAAAAAATCAGCTGATCAGAAAAGGATGTCCAGCTATATTTAAAACTTCGCCTCCAGAAGAACTCGCACAGCACTTTGGTCACTGGTATAAGCTTATTATAGACAATCCTCGTTTCGATTCGGCATCAAAAATATTTAAAATTAATTGAACTCGAATCAAATTCAAGAATCGAAAAGTTTGATTTTACACACATTACCTCTAATGTACCAGTAACACAAGCTGTTGGACATCTCCAAAGATATTTCGAAGTATTGATGTTTATTCTGCTCGCCCTGGAGTAACAAAATGAAGATGCATAAGCTCGGCAACAAAAGCGTGCACCAAATCTCACTCCGGACGCCATTTTGGATTAAAATATTGGAGCCCGCAAAAATGACTTTACTCAGCGGAAATTTGTCTTGCAGAACCCTTGATATAAGCTGTTACATAACTTGTACAATTCCTAAAATTCGTCCTAAACAAGGAATTTCGTAAGAAAATAAGGTAATTATTAAAACTAAGAAGTTTATCTGCGGCTATATCAATATGATGGTAGCCGAATGGCTTCGGTGGGATCTCCTTTAACCAAGAAAAAATAAGTTTTCTCTCGCCACTGATGCATCCCTATGTATGTCTACTTTGCACCTCTTGCCTCACCTACAATACTTTTGCATCTCGTAACCCCCAATCTAATAACTTATGTACTTCTGTACTTCTTCCGCCTCCCCACCCCCCTCCCCTCATCAATATGATGATTCATCTCATCTTACTCTGAAGGAAAGCTCCTCCACCAAAGCTTATACAACCCAAGTCGGCAGAAGAGAGTTAAACAAATTGGAAGATGCCAAGTTGAACTTTCCTACATATCTTTTCCATAATTTACATCTAGGCTTATGAATAATAAGGGCAGTATATAAAAAAACGTTTTTTTTATATCAGAGGGAATATGCGCTAAGAGAGAAGTGCGGCACATGAGAAATTATCTCAGACAGGTTCACCGCCAAATTGAAATGACTGCAACCACTGCACTCCATCAGCAATTCTGCAGCGTTCGGAGAAGTATGTTATCAAATATGAAGTTTTAATATTTGACCATTTTTCTGTTCTAAGTGATCCCTTTGGACCTGCCCATGGCAAGTTTCGGTTGGACATGGTAGTGATGATGACATATGATAAGAGTGGAGGGGGGGGGGGGACTGGAGAGGGTTACGCACATTTGCCGATCTGAGCTATTTTTTGGCCCGAACCCACGGTTAAGAAAGTAGCATTATAGCATTACAAACTGTTTTTTTCTTCATTTTTTTTAGCTTTCTCTAAACGCCGAAGAATGAAATCTGAAGTCCACAAAAGACCGAACATATACACTCCAAGATTGACTGAAGACTCTGAAGACAGGAACGATGGGATCCACAATCTGAACTTCAATTTTGGACAGTCGATCCATTATAGGAGACAAAAATTCCGTCCGATCCGCGATCTACGTTATTTTTTTAATTCCCTGATATGATTGTTTGCAACAATCCCTAAACCAAGGTTTTCTTTTCAACTGAAATCCGCCGTAACCAAAAGGTTAACGGTTAAATTATCTGGGATCAATTAAAATTCTCGTTTGAACGCATCAGTGATGCATTCAAATTACTCACTATGTTTGTGAAAAAATAAACGAGCTACCTGTTGACCGGCAACTGTGTTTAATAGTATCACGCTCGTGTAAGCGTAGCAGCTTAGAAGTGGAAAATATTTCACGCATCGGTTTACTTCATTGAATACGCCCTGAACAAATTACCCGACCTAGAAATGCGAAACGGGTCAGTAATTGATACCCTTAAAGCCAAGGTTGATAAAATAACTGAATTGGCCGAGAGCAAAGCTTCAAACTTGGTGTATACTCAGGTTATACCAAGGAATTTGAATCAAGATTAATCATGAAGAAAGCTTTATTATGTTACACTGATTTGATGTAAAAGAACTCTTCACTTTGTCACCGTCAACAACAAATCAACAAGTTTCAGATGAATTCAAGACTTGCGCCAAAGAGAATGTACAAAGAAGAAATAAATATAATGGCACAATATCCTCCTAAACATAAATTTAGCTCCCAAAAAAGTTCAATATTCACCTTAATACGAACGAGTTTCGCTCTGAAAACGTCGAATTACTATGCAATATTGTTTTTGCCTTTCGCGCCTTTTCATGAAGTTACCATATTAGGAAGTCAGTAATGTCTTCCATCGCTCCTCAAGCAGCACGAAAGCGAGGCTAGCTGCATTGAGTAAGAATAGGAAATGAACGGAAGTCAAAATCAAATGGTTCCAGGATAATCAGGCAATCCCCAATGTCTGACACATCGATATGCAAGCTTCTGTGGTCGTCTTTCTTCTGGCCTGGTTTGGATTAGCGACCACAAACGAAGAAAGCGACGGAGAAGTACATTTTACTAATTCGTGGGCCGTTCATATCGAAAATGACGACTTCGAGGCGGTGAACAATATCGCACAAAAGCACGGCTTTGTAAATCAGGGACAGGTAGGTTGATACGGAGCCTTAGCCACCCTGTCAAAGTTGCAGCGATTCAATCGCTTTCGGAGCAAATTTGTTTTAAACGAGCGTTAATCTCTGTGCGCGAAGATTAAGCGCTTGATTTATTTGTTTTGCTATTTGGGTCGGACGCAAAGACTGGTTGCTTTTATTATGAAGGTCAGTGAGGTACCAGAAGCCATGTCACTTCCTTAGGATCAACAAATGTCAACCTGCACTTGTTGATGTTTTGTGTCTTCTAGATAGGGAGTCTTCCGGGATACTACCATTTCGTAAAACATAATGTTCGAGAGAGATCGCGGCGGAGCCTGGATGATCACAGCGATACCTTATTATCGGAGCCAAGAGTAAGTTTCATATCTGTGTATCTCTTTATTGTCTCTTTATTTTACTGGTGGATTTGAATTTAATCACAGATTGCTACCGGTGGATATTCAAAAGATACCCTCCTAAACCATGCACTTGTAACTTAACTCAAAAATTAATGTTATTAATCCCTAGAGGAAAAGGTTAAAAACATCTTTCTTAATCACTAATACTGTGCAAAAAAAATTGACTGATTTACGGTTTGTGGTTAATGAAATTTAAATTGTTCAGTGACTGTAGTAACACCAGCTCAGAATGTGCAGTCACCACGAGACTTAAGAGAGCGTAACTCTTACTGCCACTGTCTTCTGACAAAATTATCGACTCGTGAAATTTTCCGACAAGTTTGATTAAACCTTCCGGCTTCTTGACACATATCTCAGAGATGTCTTTACTTCGTAAATACACCTTCAGGGAAAACTCTGCTTGGACTTGAGTCAATTTCGCACATTTAGCTAATTGCAACTGATTTTTTAATCAGCTGATTACCGGCTTAGCTTTTTAACTTTAATCACATCCTCTAGTAAGTTTATCAAGGAAGAATTTTATATTTTTGCCTTCAATATTTAGCTCGGTGTCTACGAGTTTCACGTCTAGATCTGAAGTAGCTTGATAAATTTGTCTTCAAATTTCCACGAATTGTGTTGACCTTAGGCAAGCCTATGATGCGAAAAGAGCGAAAAAGTTATTCAATTTCCTGTTCACCATGCAAATGAGCTTAATGTGACAGCTCTTTGTCACTTTTCATGTACTTTAAGGACTTTTTTTCTTAATATTACCAAATCTTTTCCGCGATGACAGTAACTGAGAACAAACTCGCTACACTTATTGTAAGAGGTTCATGATTTTTCTTGGAAGCACCGAAAAAAAAAAGGAAAACGCCTCAACGCGAAAAGTCTTAGGGTCTCTTTCATTGATAATACTTCACGATATAATTCGATTTCCATAAATGAATATTTTAATGTTTCTTCAACCAAAATTGACACAATGAATCAAACGGTAAACACCACTGAATAACGAAACTATCAAAGTTCGTCTAGAGTAACATGACCTTAATCTGCTGAAATATTTCAACCCTATTGCAGTATAACTGCTCATTTATATCTAATCTGACTCACCTAAAAGTCGTAATTAAGTCATTGTCGCTGTCTGCAATTAAGTGACAAAAACGAAGGTGGTAATTTAGACAAAAAAAATCCTTGTCTATGTCAACAGAGACACTGAGGCGACGAAAATACCTTAACGATGCAGGTTATATGTTTAATAAAATATAGATGCAACGAGTACCCATGATAAAACTGTTATTTTACTGGTTTGGGCTGAAATCAATCCATAGCTCTGTAAATTTAGCTCCTTGTTCAAGTCAGTTATTAAGGTAAATATAATGTATAGTGTTTAACTCTCAGGTGAAATGGGTGGAGCAGCAAAGAATTCTGGAACGGAGCAAGCGTGACGTCATACAGGGTGAAGACGAACTGGTACAGAGATCGGTGGCTACACTCAGGCAGGATACCGCTTTCACAATCCGCGATCCCTTCTTCAAGGATCAATGGTATTTGGTGAGTAGTCAGTTAACCATGGGTCAGTTGCTTCTCCGTTATTTCCAAACGACCCTTACGTTGGATAGAAAATGCATATTTCGTAGCTAGATTCGTTCAAAAACAGTCAGAAGGCATTTCTAAAAAAACAAAAGCTTGTTGTACCAACAAAAATAGATTTTAAGGGATATTCATCTGCAACTCAGCAATGAAACGAGTTTTTGAATGAGTTCATCGCACTTTTAATAGCTCTCTAGATGCGTAAAGTAGCAATCCATTTACCGTGAAGACGAACCCAAGCATTAGTAAGTGTGCATGGAAAAATAACAACTGGATTTTAAGCCTACTTCATGGAAAGTCAATGCTAATTATTTAATCATTTTGTTGTTGTTGTTGTTAAAACAAATTAAGTGAGCTGTTTTTAATAGTGATCAAAGTGGTCAGCTCAAATCTCTTTCGTTATCTTAACGATGCATTTATCCCATACCTTAAACTGGTACTTTTGGGCTTATGTTTTCATTAGCAAAATATCGGACAGTCTTCAGGACCCAGCGGGGTCGATATCAGTGTGTTACCAGTTTGGGCTCGTGGATATTCTGGAAAAGGAGTCGTGGTATCAGTACTTGATGACGGTAAGAAATAGGATCTTACACACTGCCTTACCATGAAATGCCGAATTATTTATTTACTCCCCAATTTTTCCTTTTCATGTCACTTTCTAGTTATTACCGCATTGCCTTGCTTCGCGCCGCGGGAGTTTTCGTAATGATAGAAAAAAACCGTGAATATAGAATATCTTAGGTTTTTACCTCTGATTATAATAAACATAGTCCGGCGTCCCCATCGATGAGAGTACGCAGACAACAGACAACCTTTTTCCTATAATTCTCTGCGAGAATTAACCTGAGAAGCGAATACTCCATTTTGATTTCTATTAAACAAACAAAAAAACCCTTAACCCTTTAAATCCCGTTAGTGACCAAGCCATAATTTTCCTTACTATATCTATACAATGTCATGCAGACAAGTGATGAGAATAAAGAAAAATATCAATTATGGATCGCTAATTGTTCCGACACCAAATTCTCCAAACTAACCTAATGACAATTATATGGCAAACAGTAAGGAGAATTACTAATGAGATCT